AAAAGTAAAAGAACAGTCTATAAAACACTTCTTAGTAAGAATCATATTCACTTTGTCAGATCTCACCTATAAGACGTCCTCAATTTGTATTTCATTATAAAACTGTCATTGTTCAGACTTTTAAAACAATATTTATTTGTTAAGATTTTCCGTTTCATGTCAAGTTTACGTAATTTTATTCTTATGTTCTGTTGTTTTTCTGAGAAAGTCTTTCGTGTTGGAAATAGTTTGACCTGAAATATTTAATGAGTGAAACATTCATACCACATCTCCTTATTTTTATTTATAGTTAAGTGTTGACATTCTTAGGTAAAGCACTTAACTATAAATAAAAATAAGGGGATGTGGTATGAATGTTTCACTCATTAAATATTTAAAGTGTTGACATTCTTAGGTAAAGCCCGACCGTGCAAGGACTGTATAGCCAGTCAAGGTCGTTAAAAACTTCCATCATCGTTAGGTAAAGCAGTAAGCTAGACAAAAACAAAATCGCAAAGAAAATATGTGTTTTAACGGTTTTCTCCAGGAAATGGGTATAAAGCAGAAAATAAACAACTTCATGTATGTATATTGTGTTCTTGTTGTGTATGTTCGCTGTTTATATACTTTAGTTTAGATGGTAAGTAAACCTGACTGGCTGCTTTAATAACACATTCTTCTTATTCTCAACTTTAATATTGAAAGAGTAATTCCACAATTATACTCAGTCTGTCACATCAAAAGTGCACTGAAACTTACATCATCAAAATGGTTGATTTTTAATTGATAACATATCTGTTTTAAACGACAACCGGAGTTCACGTAAGAATCAGTGTGCCCCTCTGTGTGCCGACCCGTTCTGAGCATTTATAAAGAATAATGAAACGAAACTTGTATTAACCTTTAACTACATGTTCGATATGTATTTGGTTTCATTACATGGAATAATTCAAAGTTAAGTGAGTATGGTGACTGCATGTATCCATGTGAACTTGAAATATATGTACAGATACCACAAGTACCTAGACGGGTACCACGAGAGAGCAGGACATCCTTACACTTTCAGAAATCTGAATTTATATATATATTGACGCAACTTCTACATAACAATGCTATGTATGGCAAATATTGCTTAACCAACAAGATTGCATCCATTATATTAAAATTACGTCGTCTGTTTAATGACTGACCAGTGACCTTAAACGTTGATAAAAATAATGTTAGCGCCAGATATTTATCTCACTTATTTTTTGTAAAACAAGCATTTAACCCATCAATATTCACAACTGTTAGTGCTGACTTCTATTCTTTCTACAGTAAAAGATGGCCTTCAAAAATATTGTAATGAGATATATGCAGCCAGTGGTGTCAATCAGATGTGGATTCTCAAAAAATCTAAAGATCTACTACTAAATCTTAGATCACAATATCTACAATTTTGCAGCAACATTAAAACCTCTGATTTTTCTACGCTTTACACTAGTCTACTATTCCCCATGCCCAGTTGAAAGATCGACTTCACCATCTCTTTAAACAGAGCTTTTTCTATACAAATTGGAATCGTAGATATGAATTTCTTGTTTTGGGTTATAATAATTCTTATTTTGTAAAGAACCACACTGATTCTATCGGAAAATACACTGAGCATGATATTATCAAACTGCTGGACTTTTTAATCGACAATATATTTGTTGAGTTTGGAGGATTAATATTTCAACAGGCAGTCGGTATTCCAATGGTTACTAATTGTGCACCTCTTCTGGCCGATTTGTTTGTGTGTTCGTATGAGGCAGTATTCATTCTTCGGAACCTTCTAAATAACAAAAGAAAAAGCTCCTTGCGAAATTCTTTCATTTTACTTTCAGATATATTGATGATGTCCTATCACTGACTCACCCATATTTCAGTCCGTACTTGCATCTCATATATCCTAGTGCAATTGAAATTAAGGATACTACTGATACTAGAAGGACTGCTTCTTACCTTGATTTTTTCCTCAATATTGACACAGGTGGACGACTCACATTAAAATCTATGACAAACGGGATGATTTAACCTTCCCCATTATCAATTTCCAATTTCTAAACAGTAACATAACCCTCTGCTCCGTCGTATGGTGTTTACATATCTCAATTGATACGTTATGCTCGTGCATGTTCACACTTTTCGGACTAGTACATATACAGTAGTGTGCTCCTTACACAGAAACTGCTCCAACAGAGTTATGAGGAGGAAAGATTAAAAATGCCACTCCGTAAATTTTAAAGACACCAGCACAAATTGGTTAATCTATACGATGTGTCTATGTCTAAACTAACTAACGACATTTTTACCACGTCTTAGATTATGGTTTACCATCTACGTCATCTGTTTGCTAAGTATTGAACGTGACCTATTTCCGAATATAAATGTTTTGCCTAGTGTGAATTTGCATTGCTATACGACGTTTCTCGTATTTATACATCCATCATTCATTTATTTAGTCATGATGTTTCCTTTGTAGGAACCGTTGGATATTGTGTTATGTCTTATCGTTTGTGGTTTGAATTCTGTATTTTCAGTACATTTCACATATATGTATGTCTTATTTGTGAGTAAAGTCGAGTTAATTTCCATTTTCCATGGATAAAGTATTATGTTAGTCCAAATAATTATGACATTGTCACATCATTAATTTCAAATAACCTCTCAAGACCGTCATAAACATGATAATCATTTGGACTAGTATTGTGAAATAACTGTGAATTTCTGGATCTCGTTCCATATAATTGTATGAATTTCAAGATTATATATATGTCACAAACTTTTTGTGGCGTTGATCCATTCATGTGAAGCGCAGTTTGTCGTGTACTGCGCTGTCGTTAATAGGAGATGTCCGATGATATTCTGCGGTTTACATTTTGTAATGTACTATTATATTATTTATTTATGCATTTCTCTGTGCTGAGTGTTCTTGCGTATGTTTGTACTGTATCTTTTATCAAGTATAGTTGTCATTTTAGCGATATTTTTTAACATTGCCATATAAGTGGAAGGTTTGGCTAGACATAAACCAGGTTCAACCTACCATTTGTTTCTTAAAATGGCCTGTACCAAGTCAGGAATATGACAGTTATTATCAAATAGGCCGTTTCTATGTATGTTGGCGTTTGTTTTTGTTGCAGTTCAGTGTTTCTGTTGTTCTGTTGTTTTCCTCTTATAGTTGATGTGTTTCCCTCGGTTTTAGTTTGTAACTCGGATTTGTTTTCTCTTAATCGATTGATGACTTTTGAACAGCGGTATACTACTGTTGCCTTTATTAATGAACGTGATTAATTATTATTCTGATATAAAGGGCTTCAAAGGAGTTGAACGTGTTTAGCAATTAGATATTCACGCGTTTTAGAAAAAAAATGCAATTTTGCACTTTTACGAAAAGTTTAGATATACTCTTAGTTCGACGTGATAAACCTCTCATTATTATAATAATCGTACTGAACAAAAAAAAAGAGAAACTTGATTTTTATCATGAAAAAAGTATGGTGTTTTTTGAGATAACTAGAAAATTTTAACCCCATTTGGTCCAGTGGACAACTGAAACGATCTAACAAACTAAAATGCTTATTATAATGCACAACCTAAAATATCTTTTAAGAGACTGGAACTGTGTATCTCTTTGTTAGATACATTTGTGCTTCATTCCAATTTATTTTTTTCATTTTGTTTTACGTTGTGCTATGGCATCCCAGTTATATGTAGGGGAGGGTTGAGCACTCACAAACATGTTAACTCCGCCAAATTGTATACATGACTGTCCAAAATCGGGAGCATGTATTTCAGTGGTTGTCGTTGGCTGCTTTCGACTATATTTATTTTACCATTAATCAGGACGCTGATTTTTTTTTTCTTTTTAATTATTTCACATTTTATAATGTCGGGATCGTTTGCTCATGTTTCATGGGTAACGGTAACATATAGTAGCTTATATATATGTCTTGTAGTGACAAGCCATCGGACTGAACGTTTCCATTCTGACCGACGATTATCAAAAAACTTCAATGACAATCATACCATATCTCCTTATTTTATATTGATAAAGAATGATATATAACATGTTGGCGATTTCTTGGTGGCCAACGACACTCACTAAATAGTTAAATTAAGGGTCTATTTTTAGGTTCCTTCTAAAAATTTAATAGAAGACAAATAACTGGATCATCAACTATCTCTTAATTTTATAAGCGTCTTCTAAAATAAGTTTTATTGATGAGACTGCCGAAACATCAATTCATATTTCAATGCATAAATTATTTACGCATAACTTTTGTTTCGATGAGGATACATTATTTGTCAGTTATAGCGATCTCTCAATTGTATCACTTTAATTGACATGGTCATATGTATACATTGTTCGACTTACTACGGATTTTAACCCATGGAAACATTACCTTAGCTGTATTTGGCAAATTTCGGACTTATTGGTCTTCACTCCTATTAATTTTTTTTCTCCATTTGGTCTTCTAACTGTCATGATTTGAGCGTCGCTAATGAGTCATGTGTAGACGAAACGATCATCAGGCATACAAATTTTAAGCCTGGTATCTTTGATGACTTTTTAAGGTGAACTTACAAAATATGTAGCACAGTAACATTTTCAAGTAATGTTCTCTATAAAGTAGTTTAGAAATTCTTTCGCCTCTTTTTTTAAGAAATTCTTGTTGATCAGAAATAAATAAAGAAAATATTTTTGTTTCATATGATATTATTCTTCTCTTTTATTCGATAGATATAATCACTATTAATTAGTTCATATAAAGACTAAAACACACTTTTGCAACTTTAGATTGAACAAAGTTTTATGAGCGTGTCTGAGGATTTGTTTTACTTATTGTTGGAACTGGTGTTAACTGCATACAATTTTAGTTAGGTAAATATCTAATTGAATCTTGAATATAATACTTGACAACTTTCATATGTACATGTATATGCGTAGGTACATTATCTAAACATTAACGTTTATAACACGTGACCAATAAAAACATGTTTTAGAATTTAACAACAGTTTATCGAAGGATTTAGATCTAATGTTGTAGTTGTAGTGTGTATTAGACATTTTGGATAGTTACTTTTACCGACATTGGAAAAATGACATGTAAGATATTTTTAATATATACTTATCTAGTAATGATTGATATAAATATCTATCAATTTCTAGGTTTTGATTCATTAATGTGTAACACAAACAAAAATATTGATTATTGTTTTATTAAGGAAACATTGGTTGTTACATATTAAACTTGTCTTACTTATATTAAGTTTTGATTTTGGTACGAACTGCTACCACAGTGTTGTACATATCAACAGTACTATTTCTATTGGAATGCATTTATCTTAGCATTGGCATGCCATGAAACCAGTTTCAACCCGCCTTTTTTTTTCTTAAAATGTCCTGTACCATGTCAGGAATATGGCCGAAATAGTTCGTTTCTATGTGTTGGCGTTTGTTTTTGTTGCACTTTAGTGTTCCTGTTGTTCTTTTATTTTTCTCTTATAGTTGATGTGTTTCCTTCGGTTTTGATTTGTAACCCGGATTTGTTTTCTCTCAATTGATTTATGACTTTTGAACATCGGTATACTACTGTTGCCTTTATCTATCTTATGTTGGGAAAAACGTATAAATCTTTCAATCTGGTTTATGATTCCTACAAAATAAAGATTGTATTTATTAGTGTATAAATGTGTCACATCTATGATAGATAAACATTCTGTCACACTTATTATGTAAGTATATAGAGATCACATACATTTTAAATTCAAACATGCTGTAAATAATCTTGAGTTAGTCTCTCTCAATTTTATTGGATTGTGTTAACATCAAAACCAGAAACCAAGAAACCAGAAATCAAAAACCAGAAACACGAAACAAAATATAAAAAATTATCTTGTTAATATGAACAGTTTACCAAAAACCATATAGATCTTAATTAAAACGCTGTTTTTCCTTCATGGTACCTTATTTTTAATATAAATGTCAACCGTTCACAACAATTAAAAAATTCTAAGAAGTTATTTATGTGGTCTAACACTGACTTGACACTTTATAATTGTTTTACATCAGCAACCCTTTACTAAAGAAAACACACTATTAACAAATCTATAACAATGTCAACCGTGCAACACAATTGAAAATCATTAACAAGTTATGTATGCAGTTTAACACTGAACTGACAATTTTTTTGTTTACAATTAAGTTTTATTTTATTTTATAAGGGTTTCAGCTACATCAGGTGCATAAAGATCACAGTACTTATTAGTTATACATGTGTATTTATATCAGGTCAATTATATTTAATTATTAAAAAACATATTTAACATTCAATATTTCTTATTTCTTGTTTCTTGTTTCTTGTTTCTTGTTTCTGGTTATTAATTTCTGATTTAATGTTTCTTAGTTTCTGGTTTTCCTATTTACACATTTCCCATTTGAATTGTTTTGTTTGCTTTTAGTATTTGTTTACAGTTATATTCCAAAATGCGTCATTCACATGAACATTTATGTGTTATTCTTTATCAGTTTCTAAAGATTTTACTGCCCATCTATAATTAAGACATTAACATCATTTGATATGTAGTGGTTGTAATCAAAGTGCTCAGGCCTGTTCATGTGGAGCAGGATCTGCTTACCCTGCCGGAGCACCTGCGATCACCCCAAGGTTTTGGTTGTGTTCGTATTACTCAGTCTTTAGTTTTCTATGTTGTGTTTTGTGTACTATTATTTGTCTGCTTGTCTTTTTCTTCTTAGCCATGGCGTTGTCAGTTGATTTTCGACTTATGAGTTTGAATGTCCCTTTGATATCTTTCGCCCCTCTTTCACTTGACAGAAACAATATTACAAAAGAATACAATCGATTTAATTAGATATTAAACCGTGTAATATTTTAGGTGTAATTAACATGTGAAAATTTATCAGCCATCTTACTACTACAAAAATTCTAGATTGGGTGGATTTTAAAGTTTCAGAATGTAAATTTTCATCGTGTTTAAAAAGAGATTTGTATTGCATAATATCTGTAATTTTAGTCAATTATCATGACTTACTGCTGTAGAATCTGGTAGTATTAAATTATTTTTTTTTTTTTAGAAAAATGATATACAAGACTAAGTATATAGGCTGAGGTAATTTTGGGTATAATTATAGATTAGAACATGGCATTTTCCATATTGGCCCTGGTATCAGCCCTAGACTCCCATATCAAGCCAGTGGGCTTTAGCCCGAGGGCTTGATATTGGTCGAGGGCTGATAGCAGGGCCAATATGGAAAATGACATGTAATAATCTACTTATCACATATTTTCAAGCTGGAGAAAAAAGAAAGCAAATATAAAATTATGTTTATATTTTCAACAAAAATTAAAAAAACATTTGAAGAAAAAAATAAAAATGTCAAATTCGGGGACACGATAAGGGTTTTCGAGGTCTGATATCGATATTAGCCCCGAGGGCAAATAACCAACCTTATAAATAGTTTTTGATTGACAGATTATCGGAAGTCAAAGTCTGGGGCACAATGTGGATTTTCGACGGCTGATATCGATATTGGCCCCGAGGGCAATTTAAATAACCAACCCTGACTTCCGGCTAGTATTGGCCATGCAAAAACGTACATATTAGTACAAAATGTGTGATAATCAAGGTTATTTTATTGATAGTAAGCTCTGATAATTAAACAGTTCAGTTTTGATTGTCTGAAGCCAGATTTTGACGGACAACATAGTAATTTAGTTGAATGTTCAAGATAAGATCTATGGTTAAAAATTTTATGTACAATTACTTTTGTAAACTAATACCAGCTATTTATAAGACATGTACTACAAAAATATGACTAAATAATCATGATTTACATGTAGCTATGGAATGTGGACGTTACTCAGCAATTTCTTGAAAAAATAAACTTTATTATTTTTGTAAGGATGACGTCGACATTGAGGATGAGACACGTTTAATTATAAAATTTCCCATTTCTCAAGGTCTTATATCTTATTTTAGTAAACCTTATTACTTGACAAAATCTTTTATGTACTTTGTAATGGTTGCTAGGCGTTGACAACTCTACAGAGGAGTAACAAGTTAATAAAGGGATGTTGGTAACACGAGAAGCGAACAAACGTAAACAAATACATTTAAATGTACTGAAAATTTTAATATGAATCAATTTGAACCCATGTCTATATAATTGATTGATTGATTAATGTTTAACGCCACGTTTAACACTATTGTGCATCCATGATATTAAATATAAGGTTCAGACATCTTTTTTTTTTACTTCTTCCCAGAAAAGAAGTCTGTTTGTTACATTCTTCATATTCACTCGAAAAAACATAGTCACACTCGAAAAAACGTAGTCACACTCGAAAAAACGTAGTCATACTAAAAAAAAAACACGATTCCAGCCACCATACACTATACATACCGTCTACCCGTGTATAACTTTTCGGTCCTTAATGTTCCTAGTGAAGGTTAGTCAGAAACATTAATCTCAACGCAGCAAATTTGCTGCCTTTCTTTGGCAAGGTTGTGCTATACAATATTGCTGTGTGGGTGACTTGATGACTCTCGATGGCAAGAGTGAACCCTAGGAAATAATTTAATACCCTCCAACATAGAGCCTGTAGTGTAGATATATGTGCCAGAGGGGACAGTTCTAAATCTCCCCCTAAACGATCTGCGACTCCCCAGTTTCATTGCTGAAACTGACAATTAACGTTTATCTTAAAACACTAAGATATGAACAAATATAATATTTTTTTTTGTTTTTTTGTTTTTTTGTTTTGTTTTTTTGTTATGTGTTATTTCTGCGAATACGACACTGAAATTTAAAATGTCTTTCTTAATTTGTTAACGTCTAATCAGCACTAAATGAACAAAACCAAATGTTTATTCTTCATCATATAATGAACGCTACAAAGTAAGTCTTTCTCCACATCACCTCAGTATTTAAGTCCATCAATTCATCAACATCATTCACGCAGCGTGAAGCTGAAAAATACAACAAACTGGCATTGCAGTAACATTCAAATAATTATAATAGTCTCTACATGCAATGATATATACAAATTACAATATATACGATGTATATCATGGGAGTGCCGGAAGGGATTTTTTCATAATCAAAATTTTTGTATATAGTTAAACTGATGCTGCAATCAAGATTTAGTATTACAAGTGAGAAAGTTTAATGTGCTCATTTTAGAATTCAAAGCACGTGATGATTATCATTATAAACTAACAGAGGCGTTCCTTATGTTTGTCAGCATCAATAGACACATTTGATTTATAATAATAACAGATCATAAACAAAACAATAAATGCTATTAATAAACGGACCACTGGCGTTGAAAACTGTTAATACAAAGTAGAATGAATACAGAATATTTATTACTAATAATGCAAAATATATATATATATATACAATATCATGTGTTTGTGGATTTTTGATAGGTCCCAGATTAAAATTTTTTGCCAGTTCCAGGAGACTAACAACCCGATAGCCAATGAATTGAAAAGAGCTTATCGGGGACTCTATGATAACAAAAGTGAAAAAATATTATGATTTATACCTTTTTATGCTTATTATTAAGTTATTCGTGGTAGGGAAACAAAATTGTGCCTGATCTTGATAGCCACTATAGAGAAATCATTGTTTTTTGCTTTAAAAATTGTATGTTGAATACGCACATGATTCATTTTATTACGTACACAAACATATTTATTTCAAAATATTCCTCCTTGTATTATTGCAATTATCTTTTTTGTAGTCAGGGCCCGTGTGCATAAAGCTACTTAAGTTAAGATTTTCCTAAGTGAACACTTACGTTAAGGAAACTCCGCCCTTTTTATCTAAGTGGTATGCATAACAAATCTTACACACAGTATTTCATTAGTAAAATCTTATTTGTTTTAAGTCACGCCCACAAAACGTAAGTGGTATGCAAAAAAAACCTTATACTAAGAAAACGCCTACGATAATATTTAAGTATAAGGTACCTATAGAGCTACCTTAAATTTTCAAAAATAGTTAAAAATCAGTCGAAAGTATGCGTTCTTTGCAGAATATTGATGTATTTGCTACCATTTAATTGATTAATAATTATATCAGTAATATGTCGTTTGTTTATTGCTTAATATTAACGACCATAGTTTCTTTTAAAATCAACAAAATAAAGAGATAACAGAGGGTATTTAGTTATATAACTTCATGATATCCTTATTTCTCAATCCCGTTATTGTGTATACCGAAAAGTACTCAGTTTGTATACGCATTGAATTCATGCTATTATTCTTTTTTTTGATTACTCTGTTCGTGTATGCTTACACAAATAACATTGAACTTTATGTTGTTAAAATACACCGCTTGATATCAATTGTTACTTATAACTGTTAGTAAAAAACTGTAAGAGGGAATGAAGAGATGAGAATCTTAAGGCATGAAACATCCTGTATTCTGTGTGTGTGTGTGGGGGGAGGGGGGGGGGGGGGGAGGGGGTGATTGATTTAATTTTCAATTATTCAGTTTTTTTCTAAAGATATAGGGCAAGTTTCTCCTGAATTTGTATCACTTACTGGGACCAAGTCGAAAAGTTTTACGACCTAATTTATGAAATTCGAAGTTTATATAATGTATTTATGATACATAAACCGTATTATATTATTTTTCATATTACCTTATATATAGTGATATATTGCAAATTTCAAATTTTGCATAGATGGACTATAATCTGAATAAATTATGATGTATTTGAAAGAAAATGTATGATATAACTTCAAATAGAATTGTCCTTATCCTCAATTTTGGATAATAGCTCAATTCTGTCTAAAATCTAGCATTTCAGTTTTGAATCATCAAAAGTTAGGCATTGATAACTTTCAATGAAATACGCTAAGATGTTGATAATACCTTAAAGTAAACATATGAATCTAATATTGTGTGTTTTAGTTAAGATTGGAGGAAATTTGAAAAACGCAATTGTTTTTGTATATGAGTTCCTGGAAAATTCATCCTACCCCCCTTTTTTCTGGAAAGGGAAATGATAAAAAAAAAATTATTTTAAATCGAAATAGATTTTTAAAACCCTTTATCATGTAATGTTAGAGTTGAAAATACATTGCTGTCTCCAGAAATTAACAGGCCCTCCATCCAGCAACACCCATAAAAGATGAATTAAAGATTAAGTAGGGGAAAATTTGGATTACAAATATTTTTTTCTTCCCATGTTCGTCCATCAAAACAACCTTTTATCTTATGCGCTAATTTATCGTTTGTTTCAACATTTTACTTGATTACGTATTAGTAAATTGTTTTACATACCAACACCAATTTAACCGCAGCTCTTAATAAAAGTATGATCGTCCAATCAATGTAAATAAATAAAACAAACTTTTACGCGATGTGATGAGCTAACATATAGCATACGGTAATTAGAGAAAGGTTCGGATTTAAGTGTTCCTTTGTTAAGCGAAGCTTAAGTAATTTTACACATACGACTTAAGAAATGTACTTAACTAAGGGGATTCTTAGTGAAATCTAAGTTTAAGGAACACTTTAGTTAACATGTTTTATGAATACGGCCAAGATATATAAATTTGTGGGAAATCGTATGACGGAAAACATGGCAGCGGCATTCAACAGGACAGGAACAGGTTAATGCACAAGCGCAGCTGTTAGAAAAAAAAATTCACAATTTTGATTTCATTGATATATTGATACATCAAAAGGATCACTAAAACAACTGAGTCTGAAAGCCCGTACCTTCTTTTCTTCTTTTTGTATTATTATCATCATTATTGCCATCGTCAGTATTAGTATTAATATTCCAGATCTATTTTTGATAATGTAACAAGGACCCTGAGTCTCATGTTTCAAATAAGAAAGACAAAAAATTGTTAAGTTTTATTTTCTGAGGGACGTTATCATATTTTCAATCCATATGATATATTTATTGATTTTCAGATATTCTTCTTTGATATTTTGCAGATTTTATTTGTACATAGCCAGTTACAATAATGGGGCGCTGTTTCAGTAAAGAAGACGTAGAATCATATGTAAGATGTTGACTTTATCTCTAAGTCTTAAATTGTTTAGAGAAAGTAGTAGATGTATATGTATGAAGATGCAAAACATTGTCTATTAGTTGAGTCTTAAAATTGATGTTATAGTTGTTCATCATATCAAGTTAAAACCAGTATTCATATAAGATGATTTATGTTGAAATCAAATGATTTCATATTTACTACCTCGAGATTGATTCTGCTCAGTAGCCAATGTTTTGGTCTTTGCATTATTTAATGACACATTTTGATTTTGTTTTGAATCTATATTTTTCAAACAAATATAAGTGTATTCGATAAGGGGCAACAGGACTTCACCATTGTGTTATACTAAAAACTAGTCCTAGGCAAATTCAAAAAGGGGAGGTCCATAAAAACTGACAAAATCAAATGCTTTCAATAACGGAACAAGTGCTAAACAACTGTCATATGCCTGACTTGTTACAGGCATTTTCCAAAGACAATGGTGGGTTACATCTGGTTTTTATAGCTAGCTAAACATCGCACTTGTATGACAGTTGTTTATAGTTCCGTTACATGTATATTGACAAAATTGGGTAAGCAACCCAAATAGACACAATAGGTTTATGTGACGAAAATTGGGTTCCAGCAGCCAAAACTGTGTAAACATACATCACAGACATACAAAGTAATCCAAAAAAGGCGCCAACAAAAAGGTGAAGTAGATAGTAATACACTCATCATGGATGACAGGATTAAAAGCTTGTACGCCCGACGCGCGTTTCTTCTACAAAATACTCATCAGTGACGTAAATTTGAGAAAGACGTCAACACGTTTTTGTTGTTGATAGTATACACTGAAGCCCGCCGCCGGATACGGGATTTTCTCGCTGTGTTGAAGACCCTTTGGTGGCTTTGGACTGTTTTCTGCTTTTTGTCGGGTTGTTGTCTTTTTGACACATTCCCCATTTCCATTCCCAATTTTATGTATATATTAAATGGTATACACTTTTTCGATAAAATAAAAATTAAGTAAATATGAATACAAGGGTAAACAAAATAGAACAAACACTGTACAAGTTATTTGTGTTCGAATCGCACGTCAGGACCCACCTGCACCAGGAATGTCCAAAGTTTAAAAGTTAAACCCCAATGGCGGGATGCATACCTACTGAGTCACGTCAACAGTCATACGACATAAATAACATTAATAGCACGAAGACAATTAATGGGGAAAATAAAGTAAAATAAAAAGATACACAACTTCAGCACCTCGAATCTATACATCAAAACGATCTTGTACCATGTGTAAAGAAGACAATGAGTATTTATTATTAGGTGTTGGTACTTTCCGATGAACATTTTTGAGAAAAAGGACTGGATGTTCTCTGACTAAACCCTAGCTCGTTAATGTTTTGCTCAGACGCTGATAACGTTTACCAAAGTCTGAGTAGCAGCTGCAAGCTCTTGAATATAGTATGAGTTGAGAATGTATACTCCATAAGCGAGTGAAGTTTGGATATTGCTGATAAAGTGAGGAAAATTTATAATTTCAAAATTTTAAATCTTCTCATTTGTCATATATTCTAGTACTGAGATGACCGCTGTTGTAAAATTCGGGTGAATGTGTAGAAATGATGCGAAGGAAGCTGTATCTGTAGTTTTTTTCATCTCTAGCTCAGGATGATATATAAATGTGACCCTGTCAGATAAGTTTTAATGGATTGTTAATGGAAAGAGCATAGTCAATATACATGTATGTGAAATTAAATAATATAGCTTCTTTGATATTCATGTTTTTTTACAATTGTCCGAAGGAACTTCGACTCATATGAAAATAAGAAAAGGTCGGCCAGGAGAGGTGCACAGTCGGTTCCCATGGAAATGCTACAACCTGTTGGACAATTTTATCTACAAATTCAACAAATATGTTGTCAATGAGAACCTCTAGCATACTGATCACTTGTTGTTCAATTTAGCAGGTTTTATTTTCGGGCTCAACTTTAACAAAATATGTAGACTTATATTCCAAAACAAAGAAATTGTAGTATATTGTGTTTTTATAGAAGAAAGCAAAGTGAAATATTTCTTTAAGACGATTTTTTTTTTCACGTGGCATGTTGGTGTAAAGGGTGGAAACATAGTAGGTTTTAATAGCTTTTATTTCGGCAGATGTTAGATTTTCCAGAAGTTCTTTTGAGTTCTTAAAAATCCACATATGCCACTACGGGAGTAGTAAACAGTGTCACAGTATTTCTGTAATCCCTCTTTCACTGCGGACTCAATGTTGGTTATCTTACGGACAACTTTGTAGAACATGCAGATAAGCCAGGCAATGTACCGTTGTTTGTAGGTAGCCTTGTGAAGTATAGGTATCCAATACAAACAAGGTAAGTCCTCAGATGTGATGTTTATTGAAATATTCAATGAGGCCATGAAGTACTTTGGTTTACCAAGATCTCATCTTTATCAAAGGTTACGTTTTTGTACGTAGTATTATCCAATTGTTCATTTGTTCCTGATTATTCTTTGATGAGATACTCGTAGTAATATGATTTACATACAAAAACAACAATGTTAAAAGCTTTTCCGCAGGAATAACAATATATATGTCGTGAAGAGACTTTAGTCAGTTCACAACCTCTTTGTCTCTGAATATGGACTTTGGTGAACATTTAAACAAATTTTCAACATTAGGATTCTTCGTTTGATCAACGACCTAATTGTTTTAACCCATTCTGACAGAGTGTCTAGTTCAATCTTTTCTCGTTTTGGCCATGATCTGGCGTAATCCTAAGCGGGGTCCTTTATTATTTTTTATTTTCTCAGCAATGCTACTGGGTTGACAGAGTTATATTCCCGTAATAAGGATGCATGATTCGTCATTTAAATCAAGATGCAGTCAAAATGCCGCTAAAAGTAATCATCACAATCGATAAATCAGTCGTTATTAATTGTTTTACCCCGGTTTATTTGGGTATTTGGCATTACTTTCCGAATCGTTCGGAATTTGATGACATTCAACTTCGTATTTGAATTGGACTTCTAACGGTTTGTCAACGCGCCAATGATGAGTATTATGAAGACGAAACCCACGTCTGACATCCTTGTATCTTTGATGAGATTTTAATTGTAAAACAAAACTTTTTGTAAGTAGCACACAAATATGATTCTGGCTCTTTTAAGCAAAAAAACAAATGACATTGAACAGTTGTTGTTAGTCTATTGAGATTTTTTTTTAAGTATTATATTTTGTATATCAAGGGCTAAAGTGAGCTTTTCCCATTATTTTGCGTCCGTCGTCTGTTAACTTTTACACAAATATTTTTACTGAAACTACTGGTCCAATGTGTGAATATCTAGTTGTTTTAAGTTTAGACGTGCGTTTCTTCTATGTTAGACCCATCAGTGACGCTCGAATAAAAAAATGTTACCCATCAGTGACGCTAGAAAAAAAATTTAAGGCCAAATAAAGTACGAATTTGAAGAACATGGAGGTCCCAAATTTTTGACAGGTTATAAGTTATTGTCTTGAATTGATAATTTTTACTCATCTTTGAGTTAAATGCGAAAACAAAGATAGATATATTGTCATTATTGCTGTGCTAACAAGACAACATGGCCGAAATCGTCAGATATTAATCTTAATATATGATCTTTACCCATTTTGTTTTTATTCTATTTTTTTTTGGGGAGGGGGGGGGGGGAGGGCGCAGCACTATGATAAATAGTAAAACTGCATACACATATTTATCATAATCAAAAAAGATCAGCAACATAAGATCAACAAAAACAAGATATGCAATAGGTCAACATGGCTAAAGTCGTCTGCAAACTTATCAAAGGAATTATTTCCCCATTACACGATAATTTTTATCGATTTGTTTTTGCTAGGTGCTGTCAATTTCATGACAGAGATAGCGAAACAAGCTCCTTGGACTTTGCAATTTCATTTGCCTTTCACCATTTTGTCACAAGCGTTGTGTTTACGGAATTCAGACCACTACGTTTTGCTTGTAAATTCTAAATAAAAGAACATTACAACAAAATTAACATTTAACAGCGATTTAAAGTTTTATCCCATTCCACGTTAATGGCTTTCTTCATGGCTGTATTACTAAATAAAATTTGTATTTATTATATACTTGAATCATGGTTATCTCTCTATATATGTAACAGTTCAAATTGGAATTTTGTAGGATCCAGAATCCTCTTAGAACTAATTGCAATTTCAATATCTACTAGTAGTACTAATCAGAATTCAAATATCAAATGGATACAATTTGAATATCCAGATTTGTCACATTAGGATCTTTGATTGCACCAGATGGTTACTAAAAAAGACACACTAAAAGAAATATTACTTTCTTTAGAATGAAAGGAACTGATATACTCAAATCATTCCTGTGAATGTATTTCACAGCCTATTTCAAAAAGTCCTTCAATCGTTTCTAAGAATTGCAACATCATAAGTTCATATGAGGTACTTAAAGTTTACATTAAATAAAGATGCATATACATATTTGAAAAACTTTAATTTTGGCAACTTTTGAGTAATTATCCATACATTCTCTACCTAAACCAACATTTTATTTTGAGTATTTAAAATCTTGTCTAACATATAAAAATCAATTCATTGATGTTAATGATGTCTTTCGATACTAAATTTTACAAAAACTTGTTCTATTTCCAATAATGTCTCAAAATTGATATTTGAAAGACAGTCTTGTTAATTTACGCAAAATGTGTTTCCTTGAACTCTGTTCATGTTGTAAAGGCAAAATTGTTTGTCTATCAAAATACCATTAATCAAATATTAGCAAATGTTATTATGAATAAAGTATATAACGATATATTTCGTATCTTACCATATTTTGTTTGTAATAAAGTATTGAATGTGGCATAGTATAAACTTTTTTCTCTCAAGTGCATCATCAATAAAAATAATAATAAATGATGCAAAAAAGTCAGATCCAGAATCATACTAACTATTGTGTTAAGTTATATCCTGAATCCTACCAGAAATTGAGGAGAATCAGGAATCCCCTAATACAAATCTGGATATCCCAATTTCTATAATAGGTTTTGGAAATCTGGTTTGTACTGGATTTTAATAAGTATAAGTCAGAATTAACAAATATATATTCTTTACTATTTAGACTGCCACCGGAGGAATAGACAAAAATATAGTCGACCTACAAAACATTGTTAAAGAGTCGGCTTGGAAAAGGTACAGCGATAGTAGACAAAAGGATTTTCCAACGGCGATGAAAAAGGTTCGATTAGATTTTGATTGGACAGGTGTAAAATTTATTCCAACGGAACCTGAATATTCAGATTCCGAACCAGCTAAACCCGTAACAGATGAAGGTGGATCACAAGTTTTATTTGAATCGGTTTTCACAAATAAAAGCGACCAAGAGCAACACCATTCTTTGAAAACTGAACAACAGACTACAGGAACATGCAATAGCTCAATAACAAAAGGTTATACAACTGGCTTCAATGTTGGCCTGACACTGTCTGCTCCTATAGATATATTGAAGACAACAGCTGGTTTTTCTAAAGGTTTCTCAGTCGAAAATACATTGGCGAATTAAGATCAAAGAACAATGACTTGGTCAGCAGAAGGTGTTTTGTTTTTTGAAAAGCAATCTATGCTTACTGCAAAACTTCAAATAAAAGAAGAGCACAGATCTTTTACTTTTACAACTAAGGTTGCAGTAAAAGGAGAAGTTATAGTTACGTTCGATGAAAGAAAAAACAACAGATATCTGATGGAATACAGAGCACCAATAAGAACAATTTTAGTTCAAAAGAAAGATAAGTTTACGGATGCAAAAGGAGAAATCTTTGTAGAAGACATTGATGGAACAGCTTATGTGAAAGTTGAAGGGAAATGTAATTTCAAATATGGTATCAAACAAGAGATCATTATCAACCAGATCAGTTGTAAAGAATAAATTAGTTTGTCCTGAAATTCAAAAAACAATACAGATGCTAATTCTTTCAGTTTTTGTTATTCCAAAAAACAACTTTAACAACCATTGAAAATATAAAAATATAAGAAAAAAAATATGCTGTGTAAACTCGCGAAAACAAATTTTTACACGCATTTACAAAGAAAAAGCAAAGAAAGAATGCAGTTACTGCAGTTCTTCGTTTATAAATTCAGAAAACAATGCTCGTTAAACGAATTAATGACCAACGACCTAAATTAAACAATGAGATGAAATATAATAAATTATATATGACAAAGAACAGTAAGCTTCAGTACCTACTATAATAGAATAATTTTGAAACAAGTGACCGAAATCTCATTTTACCCACGTAATGAATGTCGTGATCTGAATCCGTCGTTTTTAAAAAGGGGGTACAAAAATATGAAACGATGCAATGAGTAAACTAACGGCCTAATTCATAACAAAACAATTAACGAAAAACAAATATGACAGACTTGAACCAACGACAACCACTGAACTACAGGCTCCTGACTTGGGACAGGCACATAAGGAATGTGGCGGGGTTATATTAACTATCTACTGGTTATTCAGTGTTAAAGATCATAAAGATATAATTATATTAAAGTTATAAGGATATACGGTCAATAGTGATAACAATATCCACCGTTCGGATATAATTCATATCTCTGTTACTAGGTTATTAAATTTGTTTAAAGAAAATGTTCTAGAACAATCTACATAACAATTCCACGGACAGCTTTAGAAAATATGTAAAAAAAAGATAGGCTAATCTAGTGCAGTTTTCGGTAGTTTTTCGTCTAACCAACATCTAAAGATCTTCCCACCATTCTTTCTACGGTAAAATATGGTATAAAGACATTGTGATGAGGTATATTGAGTTTTCCAGATATATTAGTTGGATGTGCGTTCTTCAAATTTCTAAAGATTTATTCTGAAAGGTTCAATCAGAATCTTTACCTAATGCAATAAAGTCCAAACTTTCGATTTGTCTATTGTTTACACAACCATTCCTCGTTCTGAATTGAAAGATCGAATACATCATTTCTTTTAACAGAACTTTTTCCGCATAAATGTGAAATGTAGATACACATTTTGTGTTGTCTTAAATAATCTTCTTTCTGAATAACCACACTGATTTTAACAACACCGAAGATAATATAGCAATATGATGTACTTTACTGTGGGATCTTAGATCTTTAGATACCAGAATAGTCGTGTGCTCTGTAATCTACGACTGTGTCTTAATTGTGACATATTTTAATTTGGATTGCCATTGCGGGTAATGCATACGCAAAAAAGGAGAGGCTTACCCTGTCGACGCACCCGACTTCGATCCTGTTTGAGTTCATGCGTTTCCCTCGGTTTTTTCCCATCGATTTGTCTATTTTTCGTCGAATAGCGTGATTTAAACACCGGTAAACTACTGTCACCGTAGTGTTACACTAGAACTGATTTTGACAAATCTATCTATATAGTATATTTAGTTATTACATGTCTATTTGTTTATATTGTTTTTGTTAATTTAATTTTCTTTCTGCTTTTCTTTAGATGTTTTTTTCTTTCTTAAAACGATACAATTAAGTGTTTTCCTTGACCGTCCGTCCTTCTGTTCGTCTCTCTGCCCATTCGTTCGTCCGTCCGTCCAATTTTCGTTTCCGCACTCTAACTGAAGTTTGCCTCATGCAAATTTTATGAAACTTATACACAATGCTAAGAAGTACGACTTGCAGACAGAGGTTGAATGTGGGCAGCAAGTAACTATCTGTTCTAGAGTAATGCCCCTTTATAACTTAGAAAATTGCATTTCTTTTTTCATTAACTTAAGTTTGCCTCATCCAAAGTTTATCAAACTAATACATAATGCTAAAAAACAAGACATGCAGACAGAGTTCGAATCTCGGCAGCAAGTCACTAACGGTTCTAAAGTCATGCTCCTTTATATCTTGGAAAATTGCATTTTTTTTTTGTTTCCGCACTATAACTTAAGTTTGCCTCATCCAAATGTTTCAAACTCATGCACAACATAAATTCCTATTTATATTTGTTTTCTATTAGTTTTAAGCTAATCTATTTCAAATGGTTATTATGCACTTTTGTAATTATTTGGCTTCCGTCGTATGTCGTGGTCCGTACATCCAAAAGTGTAAGTTGATTCCGTATATCATGATTTGCTCATTAATGATGTATACACATTTTTCTGTTTTTTTGGCAAGAAATATTATACATAAAGAACGACAAGATCTTGACAATAATTCAACAAAGAAGATAGGAACCAAGCCCTTAAATGACAAGCTTTACTAACGTATGCGTTTTAAAACTATGATTATAGTAGAGAGAAACGTAAAAATAATTACCAACAACACAAGATACAAAAAAAAAGGATTTAGTGAGGAAGCATTTTCTAGTCTATACTGTTGAAGAGTGGTCATTGTTTCAGAGCACAAAGATAAAGACGAGCAACGCATATTCTTAACAGCCTCTAGTTTGAATTGTTAGTTAAGTTTAGTTTAATACTGAACTACATCGTGACATGGGATAACTTTTGAAATATTGATTTTTGAAATAACCAAATGAATTTAGAGTACCGTTTAACGCAAGTTATCTGAAAATTGTATATTCTACCTTTTATGCAACACTGTATTCCGTTTAAATAGTTGCAAACGGAAACAATAAAAACAAAACAAATACAATATCACAAATTCATTACTTAAAATAATCAAAAACCAATGAGAGCATTCAGTGTTTTTCTAGCTCTGATTCCGAATAAAACAAGTTGTAAAAGAAAAATCACAGAAGACATTTACTTTCCTCTGCAACTAAGTTTTCCGAGGTCATTCATTCATTCCGTATATTTCAACACCGGTGATCTTTCAGTCTTCATTGTTTTATGCAGATTGATAGTTAATATAAAGATACAAATGACATCAAAAGTAATTTGGGTAAACTTCTTGTCTTCTATGTTTACAGAGGGTTCAAAGTGGCAGTTTGATATATAAAACACATAGTGAAAACCTAGCGGTGACCACTTGAATGACGGTGAGACCCCCTGGTCCATGAAATTGAAAAAAACTTTTAACAGATGAATATATACAAATCGTATCAAAAGGATATCATAGAATAATGTTATCTTCGATATCGATGGAGGGCTTAAATTGTCACTTTTCAGCTAAGAATCTTCGAAAATACAGGTAATAGGGCACAGGGTGATGGCTAGACCTCCCTGATCTCTCAATCTTCATGATATTATGCAGATAGTTAGTTAATATAAAGAAAAAAATGACATCAACTGGAATGTAGGTAAACATCGTGTCTTCTATGTTTACAGAGGGTTCAAAGTGCCAGTTTTATATTCAAAATATAAAGTGAAAACATAGCGGAGATAGCTAAAATGACTGTGAGACCACCCTTTTCTTTCAGGGTTCATCAAATTGAATGATCTTTTCAAGTACACATATATATAGATATTTTTGAAAGGAATTCTCAGATAGATGTGAATTTCGATATGCATGGAGGGCTTAAAGTGTCACTTTTCAATTAAACATCGTCGAAAATTCAGAATTAAATGCCAAGGGCGTTGATTAGATCTGCCTGATCTCTCAATCTTCATAATATTATGCATATAGTAAATTAATATATATATACAAATGACATCAACATTAATTCGGGCAAACTTTGATCATCTTTTAGAATACATATATATACAGATCCTACCAATAGTTTTTCCCAGAAAAATTTCATCTTCGATATGTATGGAGGGCTTAAAGTTTCATCTTTGGGCTATATCTGCATAATCTCTCAATCTTCATAATATTATGCATATAGTAAGTTAATATATATATAGGAATGACATCAAACGTAATTAAGGTAAACGTTTCGTCTTCTATGTTTACGGAAAATACAATAAGACGTCCTAATCATACGATGTTCACAATTTAATGAACTTTAAGATTACGTATATGGACAGAACCTACCAAAGGAATTCCATTAAAACTGTCATATGTATTAAAAATCGTCGAAAATTCAGGTATAAGGGCCCAGGGCGTTGGCTACATGTTCCTGGTCTCTCAATCTTCCTAATATTATCCTATGGCATATAATTAGTTAATGTTTAGAAACAAATGAAATGAAACGTAAGTTGGGTAAACTCCTCGTCTTCAATGATTACAGAGGGCTCACAGTACTTATTTGAAATTCAAAATATATAGTGAAAACCTACCAAAGACCGCCTAAATTACCATGAGACTCCTTAATATTTCAATGTCCATACAATTTATTGATCTTTAGATTACGTCTATATACAGATCCTACCACAAGGAATTTCCAGAATAAAGTCATCTGCAATATGTATGGAGGGCTTAAAGTGTCACTTTCCAATTAAACATCGTTTAAAAATTTAGGTATAAAGGCCCAGTGCGTTTGCTAGTTCTTCCTGATCTCTCAATCTTCATAATATTATGCATAAAGTCAGTAAATATATATATACAAATGATATCAAAAGTAATTCTGGCTAACTTCTTATCTTCTTTTTTGACGGAGATATTTAAAATATGTAATGAAAACCTATTGAAGACCGTTGAAAATACAATGAGACCAACCTAGTCTTTTAATGTCCATAAAATTTTAAAATCATTCAGATTACATATAAAATTATAGATAGATTCTACCAGAGGAATTCCCAGCAAAATGTCATCTTCGATATGTATCGAGGGCTTAAAAGGGGGACGAAAGATACCAGAGGGACAGTCAAACTCATAGATCGAAAACAAACTGACAATGCCATGGCCGAAAATAAAAAGACAAACAGACAAATAATTGTACAGATGACACAACAAAGAAAACTAAAGACTATACAACACGAACCCCACCAAAAACTGAGGGTGATCTCAGGTGCTCCGGAAGAGTAAGCAGATCCTGCTCCACATGTGGCACCCGTCGTGTTACTTATGTTATTACAAATCCGGTAAATAGTCTAATTCGGTAGGTCACATTCGTGAAAAAGGAAGGGTATTGTAGTAACGACATAAG